TACACTGCCGCGGCTATTGGCGCGGCAGTATAGGCTGCCGCGGCCAAAGAGACGGTTATTAGCATGTTCCATCGTGCTTAAAACCATTCTCCCACGACCTTTAACCACTTTTTTCGTTGTTTAACTGCTTGTCCACGTCAGCATACGTTCTATTTCTGATATGCTGCCACGTAGGCCTTAAAAAATCATCATATAACTGCCTTGTAACCGCCACAGTACTCCTTTAACATAGCCGCGGCACCCTAGGTTGCAGCGCCTAAGCCGCGACACCGTATGCTGTCGCGCCTTAGCCGCGGCACTATGTGCTGTCGCGCCTTAGCCGCGACGCCATGGGCTGCCGCGCCACCTTGTGTTGCCTGATGACGTGTAAATTGTTCTCCCATATTGTTTTGAGTGGTATTTGGATGCCTGCAAGCATTTTTCGACGCCTACAATAACCATTTCTAACCTTCACTTGTAATTGATTTGCTCTTTGTCCAAGAAGCAATTAAATACACTCCCTTCGGGGACATCCACAAGTTCTCTTCTTCCAAGGTGAACTATGATAGTTCAGTAGCTAGTCAACTAGATGGCTCTATGTGCAGGTGATCTTCTAAGTGACATCTAGAACTACATCAGATGTGTGTCATTCAGAATTAGTTGTTTCTTCACAAATCTGAATCAGCAAGAAGATTATACTGCAAATCATTATTGCAAGTCGACGACTAAGTGTAGCCTTAAAAAATGTGTAAGCTGTGGGAATTTTTTTACATATTCTCACACCTGCAATTTTTTTTTACTGGTCAAACTGTTAAGCGGCTTGTTATATTTTCCAGAACAGAATGCTTTCTCAGCTACATCATGGTCTATATTCATGTACCAGGTTTTCAGACAATTGCTATTTTCATGCAGACTGGAGCTCCGAAAAAAACACTACCAACGGTCAAAGCAATATCAGAAGTTGTGAAAGATTTACCCCACAAGGTATCCATTCTGAAGCCTATTGACAATCAGTTTTCACATTTTTTATTGTTTTATTTGAAATTGAAGCCTGCTCCACTTAATGCCTTCAATACACAATGCATGCTACCATTCTTGTTTATACAATTCGTAGGAAAGGTGAGAATTATACATGGGAATGAGTTGGGCAAGTGATGCCTTATTGTTTTTTTTTATGTTTTTTCAAATAAAAAAGTGATTTTCATGTTATATTACCTTCTCCTTTGGTTGCTGTGAACTTCTTGTCATACAGAAGGAGTGATTTAAATTTTCAGTCTCATGTTAACTATTGATCAATTGTTCTTCTTACTTCTTAGAGTACAATTTCTTGTTGTCTTTATCTTTTCCACAAGTTTTCTGGTCTTTATCATGTTTACTTATGTCTCTTATTTGGATTGTTGAATGCTAACCGCACGAGATGAATAAAATAATGTAAAAAGCAGTGAAATTTTGATACTTGGCATGTGCACAGGCTGCGTTTTCTAATGCCTTTGTTCTCTGTTCTTCACTCCAGGCTTTATCCCATTGCTCTATCTAACTTCACTGAAGAACTGAATTGAGAAGTTAGACATGAATGACTGAAAAAGGACTTGACAATGAGAATAAGCAACAAAGGTATGGAAACCGAATCATCATACAAAAGAAGCCTAAATCTTAATGACATTTACTTTATTATATGCTAATTTACTAACTCTATACGTAGCAGAAACTTCTGATAACACTATAGTTCAACTGAGTCATTGACAGCATGATCTTATTCATGACAAAGGTATGATATCTTTTTTTTATTTGACATTAATACAAATGTTAGTAAGAAGGCTGACAAAGAAGGTTTGCTTGAAGATTTACATGGTACGTGCAAAGAAAGGCTGTACGAGAGACCTGATTGGTGAATACATCGTATGATTATGTATTTATTGCTTTTTGAAGTACATGATGCTTATGTTGCAAATTTTATTTTCTACAGCTGGGAAGCAAATGTAATGCACCAAAGTTAGTTTTTGTTGTTCTGTGTACTATGGTTAATTTCTTGTACTCCATGTTGGATTATCCAAAGACTAGTAATTTGTTTTTTGGCACATTTGTGTTGACTCTTCTTGTATGCTACAACTTGGTTATGTATCAGTTTGAACCTTTAAATGAAATATTTGCTTTTATGGTTGTCACAATTGGAAGTTATTTCTAGTTCAACCTCTAAAGGTTTATAGGCATAGCTGAAATGCTATAAGAAGTGGAAACAATTGCTGAAATGCTATTAAAAGAAGAAAGACAACATTCGTTGAAACGCTATTGTAGTAACTCAAACGCTATCAAATGTAAGACAATAGCAGCGTTGAAATGCTATGAATGAAAACTAACTAATAGCGTTTTTCAACCGCTATGAAAGATATTTGTCATAGCAATATAGAAACGCTATTGAATACTCTTTTATAGCTACATAAAAACGCTATGGTTGAAAACTAACTAATAGCATTTTTATGTAGCTATAAAAGATATTTGTCATAGCAATATAGACACGCTATTGAATACTCTTTTATAGCTACATAAAAACGCTATGGTTGGAAACTTTTTGATAGTGTTTGCGGAAACGCTATGTAAAGCCAAAAACCTACTATAGCGGGTTCTGACACAGCGTTGATTAAAACGCTATGAAATAATACCGTAGCGTTTTTCGGCCGCTATGGTAGATTTCAGGTGTTATAGTGGTGGTCTTTTTTTGATTTTATGGTTTTAAAATATTGGACTAATTTTATAGTTTTGAATGGTTATGATTTATATATAAATAGTTAGGATGTGTACATATTTTAGGAGGAAAATGGGGGTTGGGATGCTGTTATTTGTAAAAGTTACACTGATAACATGTTGGGCTGTTAACTTTCTTTGTTTGCTTGTTAAGTTACACTGATAACATGTTAACTTTCGCAGTTCGCTTGTTATGTTACACTGATAACATGTTAACTTTCACTGTTCGCTTGTTATGTTACACTGATAACATGTTAACTTCGCTGTTCGCTTGTTAAGTTACACTGATAACATGTTAACTTTCGTAGTTTGCTTATTAAGTTACACTGATAACACGTTAAATGAGAGCTATGCTAACCTTAATTGGTAAATTGATAACTATATTAACATGTTAATGGATTATATTAACTATAACACAATATAGTTCTCATTTAACATGCTACGTGTCATCAAACAAGCAGTACCCAATCATGTCATTATTTTTCTACGTAAGCTTATTACGCAAAATATAGTTAACACGTTGGTGCTCTGGATAGCACGTTACAACTTATGGATAGCACGTTACAAATTTAGTTAACATGTTGGCTTTTACATTTAACATGCGTTCATATTATAGTTAACATGTAAGTTATGATAGTTATTAGTTTATATATAATAGTTAACATATTAACGATAACAATTAACATGTTAACTTTAATAGTTAACACATTAACTACAACAGTTAACATGTTAACTATTATCGTTACATGTTACGTGCTATGGATAACATGTTACATATTCCCTTAAATGGCACCGTTAAAAATTAGTTAGTTAGCATGATAAATTCCGCTCCTGCTTATTTGTACATCATTTTTATATCACATTCTGGTTATAGTTCACATATATACAAAATTAATTAGTTAGCATGATAATTAGTTAGCTTGGAAATTGGCCTGGTCTTTGTCTCGTACGATGTCATCGTTGCGTTTTAGGGCATCGTCGGATTCTTGACGAGTGCGGCGCTCTTCGTCGAGCTGGGAGAGGAGGTCGCATATTCGTTGTTGTTGTTCATCCGAGGAGGACGGGGGGATGGTGACGGGGACTGGAGAGGTGTCTTCATCGTCGACGTTGCTGAGAACGGCGGAGATGCACTCCATCATCGACGAGCAAATGAATGACTGGAACAAGCTCCTCCTCTCCTCCATCAACCGTCGACACCCTCAACATCTCATCAGCCATCCTATTCTCCGCGGCCACGGGCATGATGATGCTCATCAACAAAATTAAACCCAACCCTATAAAGAGACCTCTATCAAAATCCAAACTTGGACGCGAAAACCAAAGGCCCAAGCACCCACAATCAAAATCCAAGCACCCACAACCAAAACCAAAGGCCCACGACCAAAACCAACCCCAACGAGAGCCCACTTGAAGTCCCTAGCATACTGGCGTGGGGTGGTGGGTCGGCAAAGCGCTGGTGGCTGCAGGGAAGATGGCCTACGTCAGAGGTGGAGTCCGACGAGGGTCGATGTGGTGGCGGCGAGGGCTACGACAGGGGATGGAGTCGACGAGGTCGAGGGGAGGTGGTGACGACAGAGGTACCGATGGCGTTGGAAGTTTTCAGCGAGGTTGGAGATAGGGTGGAATAGGAGATGTGTTTGTTGGAAGAGAAGGAGCAGATCTGGAGATGTGGAGGAGAAGAAGAGGGTAGTTTGGGGCTGAATCACGGGATTTAATGTCTTAAAAATTGTAAAAGGGGCTGAATCACCTGGACTTTTTATTTTTGGGGCTAATGCACATTAGAAAAAGTTCAGGGGGCTGAGACACATCATGTTTGCATTTTTGGGGCCTTGAAGCAATTTTTCCTATTATTTTTACATTAATATTTGTTAGCAATAAATTACTTTATTATTAAAATTTATTTTACTTTATAATAAATTATATTATTTATTACATAATATATTAATATTTTATATATTATATTACATTTACTATACAATATGTTATTATAATAATATTATTATATTGTTATGTTATTATTAAATATGTTACTATTATATAATATTTTATAATTATTAATTTATTACAATTTATTTTATAAAAATTTAATAATATTATAGCGATTATAATATTGTATAATATATTATTATATCATTATTATATTATTATTTATTATCAATAAATTTTTTATTATTTTTTAGGGAAAATTATGTCTAGGCCCAAAATAGAGACCTTGAAGTGGCCCAGTCCCACCAATTAATCCCTTTGGGCTTAAGCCCCAAAAATGGTGTTTATTGTGTGGCCCAGCCCCTTTAGCCCTCCTTTATACATACACACTGTGTATTTTGACAAAACTCTGTAAATGCCCTCTTCTCTCTCATAGGAAACCGGCTACAAAGCATTAAATGATCACTGATCTCTCCCATCGTAGTTAAGGTGAGGAGATGGCGAAAAGCGGGGGGGGAAAAAGGTGGGTTCCCTCCATTACTGCTCCGCTTCTCCATCATGGGTTATAAATTATCTAATTTTAACCCTCACTCTCCCATTTATGAAGTTAGGGTTTTTTCTTCAACTTTCAACAACCCTTATGAGCTTTAAATCCCCTCAATTACTCCTCATAACTGTCTCCATAACTCTCAACCGTTCCCAATGGCTGCCAACAACTTGATTTGTATGGTGTCTTTAGGCGAGAAGACCATATTCTTGAAGCCATGCTCGACAACAAGGTTTTATGAACTGAAATTTGACGTGGCTGAAAGACTGTATGTACATGAAGAAGCTTTATCCTTGATATATAAATCTGAGAGACACCCCAACCTGAGTTTTTTAGTTGATAATGAAGATGACTTGAAGTGCATGTTGGAGTACAATCGAAATGTTGGTTGTACGAAGATTCACATGCAAGCTGCTGTTAATACTGCTGTTAATATAGAGTGTTCGAGTTTTGGAAAAAATAGAAAGTTATTAGTGAAATGTAAGTAATTAATGATCTCTTTATAACATTGGGCTTTGTGTGATGTGAGCACAGCCATTTTAGATTTTAAGGTTCTGTTGGAACAATTTAAGTGTTTTTTCCCCTTCATCTTTCCAAAACCCCTTATGCGCTTTAAATCCCATCAATTTTACCTCATAATTATCCGCATAACTATCAACAACCCCCAACGGCCACCAAATACTTAATGTGCACGGTGTCCTTGGGCGTTAATGCTATATTCTTCCTCTTTGAAGTGCATGTAGGATCACAATATTTACCCTTGTTGTACGGAGATTCAAATGCAAGTTTTTGATAACATGGAGTGTCCTACTTCTTAAAGAAAGCACAAAGTTATTACTAATTTATATGTAAACAATAAACTCTAGTAAAAATTGGGGTTGTGTGATGTTAAAAATGTTATTTCAGTTTTCGATGCGCAATCAAAAAACATAGTTGTCATCTTTGATGGTTGTAGTTAACTCTTCATCTTTCATGTTAAGTTTCGACGAGATATATTATCCTTCACGTGAACATGTTAACTTTCGTGTGATCATGTTAACTTTCATCATAACGAGTTAACTATACATTGTGTCTGTTAATTTCCACTGCTCTTTTTTAATTTATATGGAAAATGGTTAATTTAAAATATCAGAAGACAATGTTATATTATAGTGTACAAGATATCTCACTGGTTGATTAATTTGTGCAGTAGTGATGCCTCTTTGAATGAAGAATATTGTCATCCTCCTCCTCGAGGAACTACTTCCAATTCAGAGAGAATCCAAAATGATTGCCTGTCTGGTGAGATTGTAATGAGAGCTGATGATATTCTTAATAACACTTTGAGCATTCCTCAATGGTGGCACACATTATTAACTGAAAAGGGCCAACAATTTGAAACTGTAAATGATTTGAGACTAGATTTACAATACTATTCTATGACGAAAAAGTTTGACTATGAATTTTTAAAGAATGAACCTAAACGTATCCGAGTTATTTGTCGATATAAGGAGACATATGGATGCCCTTGGATGCTGTTTGCATCTCCTATTAAAAATAAAAAAGGATTAAAATCAAAAGATTTGTGAATGAACACAGTTGCGGATAACATACTAACTTGTCAGACCAATCACGGGCATCTCGTAGATTCATAGCAGCCTAATTGCGACCTGTCTTAAATGTTCGACCTGAAATCCGCCCAAAAGATGTGCAAAAGGACTTCCTCACTCGATATGGATTGAGACTTGAATACAGTAAGATATGGTGGGGCAAATAAAGAGCGCAAGAGGCTATGTACGGTGATAGTTGTGAGTCTTACGATCAATTAAGATGGTAAATTTTATAGTTATCTGTTTAAATGTACAAATTTTGATCGTAGTCGCTCCACCCATAATGTTAGTAGTTAATTTATCGTGCAATTTATTTCCCTTATATGCTTCATGTTAATTTTCATTAATATATATTTCAGCTGTCACCGTGGACTGTTATGTTTCATGAAAAATTGTGAGCTTCTATGCTAATATATATTACCCTTATGTTCCATTGTATTATATGAATTTGAAATGTGGTCTCATTGTGATACAGGTATGAGGAAAAGGTGAAGGAAACGAATCCAGGAAGCTACATTTGCATTGACCAGAATAAAAGAAGGTTTAGAAGACTGTTTATATGTTATGCTGCTTACATCGTTGGTTTTTTAAATGGGTGTAGACCTCTATTATTTTTTAATGAGACCTTTTTGAAAGACATATACAAAGGCATGCTCCTGAGCGCCATAGCATATGACGGAGACCAATGGATATTGCGTATTGCATATATGGCCAGGAGAATGTTGATAATTGGAGATGGTTCCCTCAAGGCATGTGGTCCATACTGTATGAAAGGCCAGACCCATACAATCCTCCACATCAATTAGTTATTATTTCTGATGCCGACAAGGGGATCCGAGCAGCAGCGAGAGAATATTTTCTTGAAGCAATTCACTCAAGATGTGTTCTGCACTTGGTTGAAAATTTTAGATCAAAGCTAAAGGCTTTGGGGATGAAGACAAAAGACACACAAGTTTTGAGGAATTTGCTCCAACCAGCTTGCTATAAATACACCGTTACGGAATGAAACGACTACATGAAGGATATATATGAGATGTCTCCAGTTGTATATGAGATTGCAATTAACTACTCGCCAGAGCATTGGGCAAATGCATTCTTTCCTGGTATTAGGTAATGTACTCAATCATTCTGAGTGACTTTTCCCTTTTGTAGGTTAACTATCACTGATATATATTAACTATCTGGCTTGTATGTGAATATTCCCTTCACTCTATAGGTTAACCATCACTGATATATGTTAGCATTTACCAATATATGTTAACTTTCATGTGGTTACCTACTAAAGGTTAAGTTTTGTAGTTACGTGTTAATCTTATTATATATTTGGTGCTGATCATACTTTTTATTATCTTGATGTTTGCAGATATGGTCATGTAACTTCTAATGTTGTAGAATCCTTTAACAACTGGATACGTGATGCTCGATTGTCTCGTATCTTACAAATGGTGGAGCATATCCACAGACAAATTATGACTCGCATGAACAACAGACGCATAATGGCTGATAAGTGGACAAGCTATCTTCGTCCTAAAGCTGAGGAGATTGTTAGAGAACATATGGAAAAGGGATCTACTTTAGAGATTAAGTAATCTAGAGGTGATATATTCGAAGTGCAATCACATAGAACCACTCACGTTGATTTGGCTAAGAGGACATGCACTTACCGTGCTTGGGATGTAACTCGTATTCCTTGTGTGCATGCTTGTGCAGTCATCATTTATATGAAAAAAGAGGTATATCAATATTATGACTGGTTCATGTTCGTAGAAGCGTTTAAGAAGAGCTATGATGAAATATTATATCCCATACCAGATTATGAGAAGTGGAGTGTGCCCAGGGATAAAATCCAGATTTTTCCACCAATTACCACGAAGAGGAGGGGAAGAAATAGAACAAGACACATAAACAACAGAACTATCTTGAAACGTCCAGTCAAATGTGGTCGATGCAAAGCTGAGGGGTACAATTGAGCAACTTACAACCAGCCCATCGGTGATTAGTGTGTTATGCTTCTTACAACAGGAATGACGCTAGAGAAATATAAGTTGTATTTAAGTTTATATTATATATCGTGAGACAGTTGTAATCTGCTGTAAGGCAACAAGATGTTTTGAATTTTATACTTGAACATGTTAACATATAACTATATCTGTACTACTACTAGTTTTAGCTGAAGTGGATACCCTTTAATACTTGAACATGTTAACATATAACTATATCTGTACTACTACTAGTTTTAGCTGAAGTGGATACCCTTTAGCCCCAAAGTTTGAGTTTAAATGATTATATCTGTACTACTACTAGTTTTAGCTGAAGTGGATACCCTTTAGCCCCAAAGTTTGAGTTTAAATGATTGCATGTTCTCAAATCTAGGTGACTGTTCAACGGCTAGCTGATTAATTATTCCAACAGACATATTCCAACGGCTAGTTATTTGTTCCAATATGCAATATATAATGTTATGCAAAGCCCATGTAAAACCTTATCTCTTGTTCCTACCATACCTTGAAAAATCATTTTGAGATCGTGAGATGAAGACTGAGGAGGGCTCTCAAGCACTAGAAGTGGTATGTTATTTCTGTAAAATTCCAACCCCCCTCAAGCAGTGCAAAAATAGGATCAACAAAGGTAGATACTACCGAGGATGTGCAAAGTTCCCAAATAGGCAATGCAAGTTCTTTGCTTGGGCTCATAATGCTAATGCAATGAAGGAGAATATGGCCGTTCACCAAGAATTACCTGTTGAAGATGAGATAGCATCCAAAACAACACAGTTGAAGAAAACATTGAAGCAATCGAATCGTGAAGTTGAAAAATGGAAAACTTGTTCGTTCTTCTGGTCAACTTTCAGCTACATATATTAACCTCTGCTGAAGCAGGTTAACTTTTAACATTTGCATGTCATTTAGCTGTTGGCAGCAGAAATACCTTAACAAAAAGTTTTAAACTTTCGTCCATTGAAGACTGTTCAATTAATATACAATCACAATGTTTTATTCCCATCGTCAACCAGTTTCAATTCCTACATTTTGATAACGCTTTCACCCATCCTGTGCTGTAAAATAACATATACAAGACTACATTCGTTCCCATAGTTAACTTGTTTAATTACTACATAATGATAACACTTTCACCCATCCAGTGCTCCAATCTCCTCTTGATGTCTCTGTTCTCATCCTTCCACGAGAAGTTCGGCTGCAAGCCTAGCACGGATGACGACAGAATTATCTCTTGGATTAGTTACCTAAATCGTATCAGCCCCATTGATTATAGCCTTCATGTATAAGGGAACGAAAAGTCCACAATCAAAACTGCAACGCAAAGATACAAATAACAGTTCTATTAGATATATGATGCTAGATGTGGTGAAAAAGATAATCTTATGATATACTAACATTCCAGACTGTTGCTCGCAAGGGACAACTTCATATCTGAACTTCCTTCAAATATTATCGGGATCAAAACCAGACATCACATGATCCATGAAACCAATTACTTTATTCACTGGTTCGAGCCATGCATCGTGGGTAGCTGAGCTGTAATGCTTGATAACGTCCTCATCCAACCTGACTTCAGCAACATGCCAATGGTCCTGACGCACATGCGGGATAAGGAGTATATTCTTCTTCATAGCAACATGTTTTTGTATAAATCACTACAACACCTGAAATCTACCATAGCGGCCGAAAAACGCTATGGTATTATTTCATAGCGTTTTAACACTACAACACCTGAAATCTACCATAGCGGCCGAAAAACGCTATGGTATTATTTCATAGCGTTTTAATCAACGCTGTGTCAGAACCCGCTATAGTAGGTCTGTGGCTTTACATAGCGTTTCCCCAAACGCTATCACAAAGTTTCCAACCATAGCGTTTTTATGTAGCTATAAAAGAGTATTCAATAGCGTTTCTATATTTCTATGACAAATATCTTCCATAGCGGTTGAAAAACGCTATTAGTTAGTTTCCAACCATAGCGTTTTTATGTAGCTATAAAAGAGTATTCGATAGCGTTTCTATATTGCTATGACAAATATCTTTCATAGCGGTTAAAAAACGCTATTAGTTAGTTTTCATTCATAGCATTTCTACGCTGCTATTGTCTTACATTTAATAGCGTTTGAGTTACTACAATGGCGTTTCAGTGAATGTTGCCTTTCTTCTTTTAATAGCATTTCAGCAATTGTTTCCATTTCTTATAGCATTTCAGTTGTGCCTATAAACCTTTGAGGTTGTTGAACTAGAAATAACTTCCAATTGTGACAACCATAAAAGCAAATATTTTATTTAAAGGTTCAAACTGATACATAACTAAGTTGTAGCATACAAGAAGAGTCAACACAAATGTGTCAAAAAACAAATACTAGCCTTTGGATAGTCCAACATGGAGTACAAGAAATTAACCATAGTACACAGAACAACATAAACTAAATTTGTTGCATTACATATGACTTGGGAGACTCATCATCTTCAGCAATTGAGTACTTATACTACTGCAAAAATAGAAATTAACAACACCAATAATGAGATCCTAGAGCCATGAACATTATATGGACACAAAACAGAAAACAACAACACCAATAATTAGAAATCACAAGCTTATATTAATTTCTTTAATAATTTTGTTTAAATTTGTTATTAATGAAAATAAGAAGATAATAATTTGTTCTTTATTAATTTCTGTATGAAAAACTGGCTTTAATGATAGCAAAGAGAGTCGATACCTTTATTTGAATGGTTAGGTTGCTCTTTCTCATGAATCCTGTCAAGCATTGAGATGAAGAACTCATGGGCATCTTGCTGCTCATAACTAGCAAGGGTAGCTGAATGTTGCCACCAACTGTATGACAAAACAAGTAAATGGAAAAATTAATGATGTTTTATTTCTGACAATCATTTCAAATTTTAATTTAAATAATAAAAAGAAAGAAATAGCAGGGGGAAAATTGTCAGTATAAAAGGTCTTGTATATGCGTGATCTGTGTTTGGAAGAGGAAGAGAAATCCCACTAGCCTTGGTCACATATGAAAAATCTAAGGATTTGAGCATGAACAAAAGTACAGACTCCTAAATCATGGCACAAATCATTCTATATGAAACTTATAACAGTAAATGAGTTGAACATGGAGTACAGAAAGATAGCTCACCCCAGGAGAAAAACATATTGCTCGGTCAAGTTATCAATATTCTTGGTCCTCTGTAACAAGATCAGCTGTGGAAGTATCGCAACAACCTCCAAATATAAGGAGAATGTCCACATAACCTATTAACAGAAATTACAAAGTACATAATGAAGGCAACAAATCTGAATGTATAATGGAGAAATATAAGTTCCAAGTAAGAAATTTCTTCATCATACCACAAGAAACAACAAAGTAAAAGATAGTACAGAAAATGACCACAAATTGCACCTTAGGCATGCATATGTTAGTTTATTAATCAAATTTCTTAAAAACCTGTATGAGTCAGTTTACCTCCTTGAAAGTAAATCTCTCATGTATACATAGGGCCAAGAACAGGCAAGGTAATATGAGGAAGTGATGGCGGAAGGTGTCCTGATCCTTATCATATGATCTGCGGACGATCTTGTGTCTTATGATGTACCAGACTATTGAGAATGAGCTCCCAAAGAAGATCAACTTCATGACAGTATTATAAAGTGAGATAAAATCAATAAAAATATCCAGATATCGTGTGGCAAAGACAAGAGCATAGAGCTCTTGTGTCTTAAATGAAATGCCTGCAAAAGGTATAAGCAGGGTGAGTCATGTAGTATGCACATGCTGCTTGATAAGAAAGCGGAAAGCGAACATTGTACATTGCAGTTGATAGAATGTGCATGTGCGTACGTATGTCTGTGCATGTGTCTGCATGTGTGCTTTTTAATTAGAAATTTGTATCGTTGGATATGATCTACTACAAGTTAACTCTTTAGTGTAAGATCTCGGATAAATTTGAGTATGTTCTAACCATGCATATTATGCTATCAAAATCAACATATCCGAATTTTCGCAAAATCAAATAACTTTTTTACCCACATGATTAAAAACACACAGAAACTATTGGAAATTTTGCTAGGTAGTTCATGTGTATAACAACACATCCACATGTATATATTTAGATATTTTCAATTTAAAAGCCCAAGTTTTAAATTCAGGTCTATAATTTTCACAAAATGGATGCTATCAATAACTATGTAGTTGTTCTAGGCCAATGTGACAAGAAATAGTGGTGACTCTAAAGTAGGCAGTGTGTGAGATTAAAAATTATTGACAACTATTGCAAAACAAGTATGCATTGCTGGGAGATGACAGAAATATAGTCATCAAATGTGTGAATGAAGCATGATAAAACTATGAAACTCAAATGAACAAGAGATTTACGTTGAGGCAGAATTTTCATAGTAAACTGCAAATATGTGATAGCATATTATATGAATAACAAAATGTATTAAATACTACACAATGCCTTGAAGTTCTGACTCGCATAGAATTATATACATGGAATTATTTAAAAGAAAACTGCCTTCCTAACCATTTAAATTACAATCAGGTTCTGTTCGTGAAGCTAGAAATAGTGCAAGATTAAGTTACATGTAGACACGTCATTCTACTTGGTTGTGTCCACTGATTCCAACTCAGTTATTACTTGTTAGTAAGGGGAAGTCTTAAAGAATGTTAGAAAGCTAATGATATTGCGAAAAACTTGTACGTGTCATAATAACTGTAGCCTAAGTACACATGATAAGCAGTTATCAGCTATTTCTCAGTAGGTGGGAAGATTACCATGGCCTGATGAGATATGATAGAAGCTCAGGGAAGATACAAAGCCACTAGTAACCATGAGAAGTGTCAGAAAAGACGGGTGCATAAGCTTTAGTAAATTGCCCTGTGATCGTAATGAGTGGATATTTGCATTTTCTTAAAAAATCCCTTTTTATTTCCTGGACAACCTGTTCATTTACTTAAGAGAGCATCCCTTCCCAATGCTCACAGTATCATGAAATCTATTGCTCTAACATAACCATTTTACCTAAAATCTTTAGTTACTAGTAGAGGCAACATAATCTTAAAACATTCTCTCAAGTAGGATCAGCTGAAAGCTTGACTCGCAAGCAAGGGATTGTAGAAGATGGTAATTGTAAGTGATGTTTAGCACCAGAGCCTTATAAATACCGTTAAACATTATTCTCGAATGCTATGTCAGTCAAATGCTTTATCCGAAAGCTTGAAACTAGTTGCATTTGCAGTATGAGTGTATGACACTAAAACATCACAGCTTTATATTTCAGATTTTGCAAATTAGTTCTGCAGACCCAACTTCAATCCAAGCCTAACCAACAATAAACATAAAATCCTAAATTAGCACCATATTTAACAAAAACACATTACTTATAATAATCAGCTATATGAAATTTCCCAACTTACTTAGATGTCACATCTTTTATGCACTTGGCGTATTACAAAATCACTAAAATTGATTATACCAGTTATCTTCTGTTCCTGACATGATCATACTTAAAATAAATGAATAAATTGTTAAGAAAACATTGCTTAGTAAAAAAAATTCACCTTGGCGAGCTACTCATCAGAAACCCTAAATGAATTGATTCGATCTACGCCACCCCCATGCTTCCTCAAGAAACCTTTTAAATTCCTCAGATGCTCCAAGCTCGCAAGATGATTGATCGCATTACAACTACAAACATGAAAACTAACCAATAGAAACACCTAGAATCCTCAAAATCCTAAATTAAAAACCCTAGAAACCTCAAATCCGTACCAGGAGACGGAGCCGCCGAGATCCCGTACGTCGACGGAGAAGAAAACGCACCAGAACCGGAGAGCTGAGGTCGGCGATCTTTTGCTGAGAGCGGGAGAGGAGAGAGGAGAGGGAGCGCACGGTGAGGGGAGAGCTGAGGCGAGCAAGGAAAGAGAGGAGTGGGTCTGAAAGAGAGGAGTGTGGATTTTTTTTGGGTTAGAGTTTTTTTTTTCTCGGGGCGGGACCAATGAAATTTGGGGGGAGGAGACGAATGAAAATTTTGGGCAGCATGTTTTAATTTTTAGTCTCCGTTTAAGTATTCAACGACGTCGCGTCAGAAAAAAAATTTGCCATCAAGAACTTATAGCGTTTAAAATTTTACAAACGCTATAAAAAAATAAGACACATACAATCTATAGCACTTGTAACATAAACGCTATTGTTCAACGCTATAAAAAAACAGTTTTGTTGTAGTGAATGAAGTATAGATATGTGGGAAATCAGGAGTGTTTGCATAAAGGGTGTGCTATATTGCCAATAATATAATGTTATGCCAGGAGTAAACAAATGCTAAAGAAGCTTAGTAGCAGAAAATGGTCAACTTACATAGAAAAAGACTGATACAACCCCATAATTATGGCTCATTAGAGTAATTTCTGGCCTATCTAGCCATGTGTTAATTCTTTCGATCAAAGCTTCCATGACCTGTAAATATGCCATACATAAGATACACATTAAATCGCGCTACAACACAATACCTGTAAAAGACAGAAATGCATATAGTGAGGCAATTAAACTTGCATGGTCATCAATACGTCCTCCTCGTAGTAGATTGAGAAGCTCCAAAGAATCGATGCTACTGTTTGACGTATTAACAATACATGACCTGATATATGACAGAAAGATATAAACATTAACAGTTTTGGGCATAAGTTAACATAATTCTGGAAACGTTAACATATAACAGTGAACAATAACATGCTCTAGCAAATGTTAACATAAATGGGCATAAGTTAACATAATTCTATTAACATTAGTGCACATGAATTAAACTTACTGATGAGCTTTCTGATTGCAAAGCTCTAAGACCCATCTGTTCTCCTCTAGTGTGAGTTTTGCCGCTACATGGTGGGGTATTCTAAAGTTGTGAACAAAGGTTCCTTCACTATCAACCAAGCGTATGCTAAAATCATCAACAACAGGAATACCCTCGTTCAACAACTTCATCAGAGTCTCCTCATTCTTCTTGATTTTTCTGTTCTTTTGAAAATCCTAAGTGCATTCACCATGCTTGCAGTAGTACCTGATTTTTTTTCCTATCATCCTCCTTGTGGTGTGAAATTATAATTATATCTAGATGGGTTACCTTCTTCTTTTCTTCAGTGAAAGGTGTTTGGAATAGCTGAGAACGAGTCCTGATTCTGGTACTTGGTCCCCTTATCCTCTTGGAAACAACTTTCTTCGATATCTTTTGATAGGCTGTAGCAAGTCTTTCTCCTCCACTCTCATCTCCACCACTTTCTCTGCACTTCTCTTCTCTTCTTTCTTCTCTTTCTCATCCGGCCACTCTCATCTCCACCACTTTATCTACACTTCTCTTGTCTTCTTCCTTCCCTTCCTTAATCATGTCCTGCTCTATCTCTTCCTCTTTCTCATCTACTTTCATCTCCTGCTCACTAGCTTCCTCTTCAAAGTACTCCTCTCTATCTTCCTTATTCTCATCTATATCTGTATCTTCCTCTTTCTTCTCCTACTCTTTATCTTCCTCAAACAGCTCTTGATCTCTATCTAATCTCCAAACCAACCATTTTTTACAAAAAAATGTCGATTTGATCATCTAAATACACGGTTACTGAAGATGTGCTCCTTTGTCAAGTATTCATGGATATTTCTCAAGACCCTATTATCGGTAGAAACCAGTCTCGAGATGTATTTTGGTCTCGTGTGGAGGACAGATATAATAAACTTCGAAATCAGCATTTTGAGGTTCGTACGAGCCGATCAGTTCGTTCTCGAATGGAAATCATAAGTAATGAAGTAAGGAAATTGAATGCGTGCTTGAGATAAGTAGAGAATCTGAATCCAAGTGGTACTTCAGATGAAGATATTGTAACTATTCTATTAATTATTTTTTAAAATTTATTATTATTGTTGAAATACATAACTTAATGTTCACTATAATTTGCAGTTAGTTCGAGCAAAGATGTTATTTATGCAAGAACCAAAAGTACAAAAAGGTTTCAAATTTGATCATGTCTGGAATATGGTTAAAAATTTTGAAAAATTTAAAGATGATATCCCCACAACAAGACAAGTTGGTCGAAGACAACCCCAAAGTGTGAACTTGGACTCGTCACAATCAGATAATCCTACTCTGGAATCTCCTATATCAACATCTCCTGGACTGTCATCATTTACTCCACCTGAATGACCTATTGGGGTAAAAAAGCCAAATTGAAAAGGAAAAATGATGATCATGAGTCAAGTGTAGTGGACTCCATCGACACAAATAATAACAGACTTATAGACAGGTTAGACAAGACGAGCTTAGACAGGCAAGTAGCATTTGATATCGAACGAGAAAAGATAGCCATGAAAAAAGATAGAGATGAATGAAAAATTAGAATGAAAGATTTGAATTCCATTGCTGATCCAAACATACGTGAGTACGTTCAAGCTCAACAAATTAAAATAATACAAAAAAGAAATAAACAAGAACAATGGTCTACTTCTAATTTTGGTAATTATTTCAATGATATTGGAGACTCTGGATCCGATCTACCAGATTATTGAGAGTTGCTTGTCCATCTTATGTAATGTTATATGTTTAGTTTATATTTTATGTTTTATTTTAGTAAAGTTTTATATTATATGTGTCAGTTTTTATATGTTATGTATTTCAGATATGTAATTTATATTTGAATTATGTATTAGGGTTGCTCGTTATATTTTTAATTTGTATTTCATGGGACTTTAATTATAATGTCTAGATTTTAATATTATAATTAATAATGATGTACTATAAATTTTAACGTTATTTTTATTTTTAAAAATAATTTATTTTGTCCAAATTATACAATTGGGGTTGTTTTATAAATTAAAATTTTAACATTATATGGCGTCACACTGTTCAAATTCGCTAAAATACCATAAGAAATACGGTTCGATTGGAGAAGAAACACAGCGACAACTACACTTTTTCGTTGGAGATGCCCTAATAGGAAGCACAACCAGTTGCACAGATGCAATACCTTTATTTTAAGGAATTTCTATCTCCCTTAACCAAATAATTACCTAAAAATTATCATGAATTACTTTATTTTTCAAAATTCATACACTTTTTGTAATTTTGTTCGACACCAGAGAGTTCAACTTAACCAAAAGAGAGAACCGCGATGAACTTGCCATCTCTCTTTAAAATGTATATGACAATCTTTTCATTTAATTCTGCTTATTTCCTATTCTCGGCTTGTTTTTTCAAATGGAAGATGCGTATAATGTAATTACAGCTTGTTTATTAGCTTTTACTTGGAATTGGATCCAAATGGTTACTACTTGACAAATTGGCAAAATATATTAACCGCTTGTGCTAATTCATGGAGAAGGTTAACCACAAAGTACATTTTTGAAATGAAATGCAGGTAAAATTTCTTTCACATGGTTTGGCCCAACTCCCAGGGTGACTCTTACAGATCCAGAGTTGATAAGCGAAGTTTTGTCCAACAAATTTGAACACTTTCAGAAACCAAATATTGGCCCAATTGGGAGATTGTTGGCAACAGGATTAGCAAATTATGAAGGTGAAAAATGGGCCAGGCACCGGAGGATAATTAATCCTGCTTTTCAAGTAGAAAAGTTAAAGGTAAGTACAACAACAACAAAAAAGGCCTTATTCCAAATTCTTGGGCTCGGCTATATGAATCCTATTTGTTAATTCAGTTTTATTAAGGGTCGTCTCCTTATTAAGTTAATTGATATTGTAGAGCGTAAAGTCACGCCCACCGTCACGGAAGTGATATTGCCTGAGAGATAGCACTGGCTTTTGTTATCATAAAAGCACAAGTCAACCTCTATATTCTTGTTTCTCAAAGGAAACTAGAATAAATAGTGAAATTCTTGTTTCTCAAAGGAAACTAGAATAGAAAGTAAAATATTTTATCAAAGTAAAATATACACTCTTCCTCTCGTCAATTCTAAGACTAAAATGTCGAGGGAACCTACAAGCAATGACAAACTCACAGTTAAGATAATACAGACACGAGATTTACGTGGTTCGGCAAACTTGCCTACATCCACGGGAGGGGGTTTTACTATATGGAGAATACCAAACTATTACAAGTTATCTCTTCCTCTCTCTTTCTTTTCCTCTCAAATTCTGATTTTTTCCCCACACACTTCACTCTTCACTACCTCTCCTATTTATAGGAGAAGGGGAAATGAGTGCCTACGAGCATCACTAGAGAGTCCTGCAACAATTCACCAGGCCAAACCAGTTGTGCCACTATACCGCGGCTGCCTACGTACCCTCTACCAGGATCAAGCTAACCATAGTTCTCAATTATACTCTAACATAGTCTCCACCACACCTCCATCACCGTCCCGCAGGGCCATGCCCTCTTGGGCAAATCAACACGGGCTGATATGAAGCAAGTCCAAATAATGCTAGAACTTGCTGCCTGTCACCACCTTGGTTAACATGTCTGTGGGATTCTCATTCGTGTGTACCTTCATGAGAGAAATATCACCCTCCTCTATGACATCCCGCACAAAATGATATCTGACGTCGATATGCTTGGTACGAACATGGTGAACTTGATTCTTCGCTAAGTGAATCGTACTTTGACTGTCGCACCACAAGTTCACGCTCACCTGCTCAATCCTCAAGTCATCTAGAAGACCCCACAGCCACAATGATTCCTTCACTCCATGCGCCATGGCCATATACTCGGCCTCTGTAGTAGAAAGTGCCACTGTAGCCTACAACATCGATCGCCAACTAACTGGAGCCCCATGCATCCTGAATACATAACCAGTAGTAGATCGTCGTCTATCTAGATCCCCCGCATAATCTGAGTCCACAAACCCGTCGATCTGACATGTATCTCCACTAAAACACAGACCCGTATCCCCGATACCTTTCAAGTACCTCAGGACCTATTTCGCTGCTTCCCAGTGCGCCTTTCTCGGATTCGCCATGAATCTGCTGACAACACTAACCGCCTGTGAAATATCAGGGCGTGTACACACCATTATGTACATTAAGCTGCCAACTACACTAGCGTAAGGGACACGCTTCATGTGTGTCTTATCTTCCCCTGTAGTGGGAGATTGTTTACCAGAGAGCCTAAAATATGGAGCGAATGGAGTCACCACTGGCTTAGCACTTTGCATTCTGAACCTCGCGATCACCCGTTCAATGTAGCTCTTCTGACTCAAGAACAATCGCTGATTCGACTGCTCTCTTCTAATCTTCATACCTAGTATTTTCCTTGTAGCGCCCATGTCCTTCATCTCAAACTCTTTGCTAAGTTAAGATTTTAGCTTATCTATCTCCACTTTGTTCTTCGATGTAATAAACATGTCATCCACATATAAAAGGAGGTAGATATAATCATCTCCATGAAGCTTCCGAATATAAACACAACAATCATAGTCGCTTCGAGAAAACTCATGCTTCAGCATGAAGGAGTCAAATCGCTTGTACCACTGCCGAGGATATTGCTTCAGTCCATAGAGTCACTTTCTCAAGCGACATACATGATGCTCCTTATCCTCAACCTTGTAGCCCTCAGGTTGATGCATGTAGATCTTTTCATCCAAGTCTCCCTGCAAGAAGATCGTTTTAACATCGAGTTGTTCCAGCTCAAGATCACCATGAGCAACAATACTCAATAGCACCTGAATAGAAGTGTGTTTCACCACCGGAGAAAATATCTCATTGTAATCCACACCCTCTCTTTGTGCAACCCCTTTAGCCACTAGCCTCGCCTTGTACCTCGTACCACCAAGCTCTGAAGGATCTTCCTTTCTTTTATACAGACACTTACAACCTATAGCTTTTTTTCCTACGGGCAATGGGACCACCTCCCATGTTTGGTTCTTCCGGAGAGATTCCATCTCCTCCTCCATCGCAGCCAACCAACTCTCGCTATCTCTATCCCGAATAGCTTCCTTAAAGGAGACCAGCTCATATTCCTCCACCGAGAGTGCGTACTCAACCAAATTAACCTGCCCATAGTGCTTCAGGGGTTGATCAGCCCCCAGCTTCTGTACCTGCTTGTATGCTCACCTTGGCCTAGTGAAAGCTAAGCTATCATCGAGCTGTTGTTGTTGTAGTACCACTGAACCTCCTCCTGCTCAAGTTCATCATCTACCTGACTTTCCACTTGAACACGACTAGAATCTGGTTGGTCTTTAGGTTCTATCTCAATAACCTGGGACTTAAACTTCCTAACAGTCTCAACACCATCATCCTTGGGCACCTTAGTAATCATGAACTTCTCATCAAAGGTAACGTCCCTGCTGATCACGAACTTTGAATCTTCTGTACACCAAAGACGATAGCCTTTTATACCCTTTGCATACCCCAAGAAAATTACCTTCTTGGCCCTCGTGTCAAGCTTTCCCTCGTTGACGTGATAGTAGGTGGTACACTCGAAAATTTGGAGCCTCTCATAATCTGTATGCTCCTCTAACCACACCCGATAGGGTGTATCACCATCCAATGTAGAATGTGGGGATCGATTCACAATATAGCAAGTTGTAGCAATTGACTCTGCCCACCATTCTTTGCTCAAACCAGCATATGATCGCATACTCACTGCTTTTCTCTCGCAGTGTTCAGTTCAGTCTTTCTGCGACCCCATTTTGCTATGGTGTAGATCTAACTGTCCAGTGTCTGGCAATCCCCTTCTGATCACAGAACTCCTTGAAGGCACCATCTGTATACTCTGTATCATTATCAGATCTCAATGTCTTTAATTTCTTTCCTGTCCTGTTCTCAACCATCGCCTTCCACTTCTTGAATATCTTCAGATCTCAATGTCTTTAATTTCTTTCCTGTCCTGTTCTCAACCATCGCCTTCCACTTCTTGAATATCTCAAATACCTCATTCTTTCCTGTCCTGTTCTCAACCATCGCCTTCCACTTCTTGAATATCTCAAATACCTCATTCTTATGCTTCAGAGAATAAATCCAAGCATACCTCGAATGATCATCTATGAATGAGACAAAATACCTGGAACCACCCTTAGAAGTTGTCGAAGCCGGACCCTAAACATCCGTGTGCACATAATCTAGTATACCTCTGCTCTTGTGATTGCTTTTCAAGAACTGGACCCTGTGCGCCTTTCCATACACACAGTCCTCGCAAAAATCCATACAAGGCTTCTTCAGATTCTTTAGAAAACCCTCTTTACCATGTAGATCCAGACCCTTCTATGATATGTGCCCAAACCGCCTATGCCATAACCGTGTGTGCTCACATGGGTCTCTACCACTTCCATCAGTTCCAACCGCTGCATCTCCTGTCACCGTCGTACCCGAGAGAGTATATAGATTACCGTGACGAACACCCTTCATCACTGTTAGGGAACCTCGAACAACATTCTTTACTCCATTTTCTGTAACAATCTTGCAGCCACCGGAGTCCAATGCACCCACTGAGATAAGATTCTTCCGCAAGTCAGGAACGTGCCCTACGTCCGTTAGGGTTCTGACCACTCCATCATGCATCTTGATTTTTATATCACCGAGCCCTACCATTTTACAAGCATGGTTGTTCCCCATTAATATGGTTCCACCATCAATGCTCCTATAGGTAGTGAACCACTTCCTATTTGGACACATATGGTAACAGCAACCAGAATTAAGTATCCACTTTCCGGAGGTATCCTCACCACCCGTGACGACATAGCATTCTTTATCGCTCCCTTCCTCTGAAGCATAGCTCACTTCTTCCTTGCCTTCTCTCCTCTCAGTCTTGTTATTGTTCTTCTTCCCACCTACTCTCTTGTTTGGACAGTCGACCTTAAAATGCCCACTTCCCGCAAGAGGTCTCGATTTAGATCTAGACTTTTCTCCATTGTCTTTTCCTCGCTCATTGCTCCTTCCTCTAGCAAACAATCTATGCGCTTGTTTTTTGTTACCACCAGTAGTCATGTCACTGGTTGCAATCTTCCGAAGGTCATCCGCTAGAAGCTTCATTCTAGTCTCATCCATCGTTAAATTGTCTCCCACAAGCATCAGTGTTTGCACCAGGTTCTCATAAGACTTCGGCAAAGATAGAAGTAGTAGAAGCGCCTGATCCTCGTCTTCTACAGTCACATCGATGTCCTTCAAATCCGGTATTATCCTATCGAACTTGTTGATGTATTTCCGGATTGATGAGCCTTCCTCCATCTTGCAAGTGTATAATTTGGATTTTACGTAGATCCGATTTGTTAGACTCTTCGTCATGAAGGTGCTCTCTAATTTTAACCACACGCCCACAGCCGTTTCCTCTCCATCCACCAAGAAAGCCACATTCCTTTCAAGATATAGGATAATCGACGCTCGTGCTTCCAAATCTAGCTCTTCCCAATCCTCATCAGACATGTCCTTGTACTTCTTCTCTTTTCCCGCCAAAGCTTTGTGCAACTTTTGTGAAATCAACGAGTTTTTCATCTGCATCCTCTAATAGGAGAAATCATTCTTTCCATTGAACTTTTCGATCTCGTACTTTCCAACTTTAACTGTTTTACTTGTTGACGCCATTCTCCACTTGTATAAATAAATCCGCTTCTCTCAGGAATTCTAACAAATACTTTGTGTCAACCACCACCTCAGATCAGTAGCTCAACCACCGCCAATCTGAATAAGGGCTCTGATACCAATTGTTGAGCGTAGAGTCACGTCCACCGCCGCGGAAGCGATATCACCTGAGAGATAGCACTGGCTTTTGTTGTCACAAAAGCACAAGTCAACCTCTATATTCTTGTTTCTCAAATAAAACTAGAATAAATAGTAAAATTCTTGTTTCTCAAAGAAAACTAGAATAGAAAGTGAAATATTTCATCGAAGTGAAATATACACTCTTCCTCTCATCAGTTCTAAGACTGAAATGTCGAGGGAACCTATAAGCAATGACAAACTCACAATTAAGACAATACAGACACGAGATTTACGTGGTTCGGCAAACTTGCCTACGTTCACGGGAGGAGGTTTTACTATGAGAAGAATACCAAACTATTACAAATTCTCTCTTCCTCTCTCTTTCTTTTCCTCTCAAATTCTGATCCCCCCACCACACACACACACACTCTTCACTCTTCACTATCTCTCCTATTTATAGGAGAAGGGGAAATGAGTGCCTAGCTGAAACAGCTCAACAAAGAGAGGGCTAAAGGGCTCTAGGGGGGCTGTGAGCATGAGCCGGACAGAGAGAGTCCCATGCTCGTTCCCACACCCAGCATGGGAAAGGTACAGTGGGCATGCCACTGTCCTGTGTCCCCCCCACGTTCACAGATATCATCTCACTTTTTCTATCTGGTGCATTTAGTGGCCTCAGGTAAATCTTGGAAGAGGGTAGTTATAATCCTTTGATATCTCTTGGTTACAATATGACAGCCATTTGAATCTTAGTTATCCTGATTTGCAGCGAATGCTTCCAACATTCTCTGCCTGTTGCAGCGAACTAGTCAGCAGATGGGAAACTTTTGTTGGTTCAAAAGGATTGTGTGAGTTAGATGTTTGGCCAGAACTCCAGAACTTCACAGGGGATGTCATCTCCAGGACAGCATTTGGTAGCAGCTTCGAAGAAGGGAGACGTATATTTCATTTGCAATCGGAGCAAGCTGAGCTTCTTATTCAAGCATTTCAGTATTTAGTCATCCCGGGTTACAGGTTTGCTATCTATTGCTCAGTGTCCAGATACTATTTATATAGGGAGAGTACATCATTTAATTAGTTAATTAATTCACTGAAGTTGAACTAAGTAATAGATTCTATTGATAAAACGGAGTTTAAAATAGCCAAATAATATGGGAAACTTGCAACATACTTTATTAACTGAATGTTTGAATAAATAACATAGCAAAAAATAAACTGACAACTGAAAATAAGCAACATAATAATCTATTCCTAAGCTCATGGGATTCTCCTAAAAAAATTGAAACAAAATAATCTATTCCCAAAAGAATAGGTCCACTACTATTATTCTGTTGAACATAAAACAAAGAACTTAACACCCTCCCTTAAACTGAATGTCATTCATAACATCAGTGTAAATCAGTCTCAGGACAAACACCAAGCAGAGCAGGCAACTTCATAAAAGCACCCAACTTGAGAGGCTTGGTTAATATATCTGCAATCTGTTCTTCACTTCGACAAAATATTAATTCAATAATTCCATCTTTAACAAGATCACGAAGGAAGTGATACCTCACATCTATGTGTTTGCTTCTCCCATGTAAAACTGGATTCCTGGATGTCACGACCCCATTTTCCAAACCTAAAAGGAATATTAGAGCCGGACTAAACCTGTGAAAAGTCCTCCAAAATATACATTCATTAAAAGATCACTAAAACAAATCTTTCCATTGAACTAAAACCAACAACAAATATTCTCTATAATCCCAAAAGTCAAACTAAGCCAATTAACTTGATAAAAATAAATATTCTTGAACTCCAAATAAATCTCAACCTAAAAAAAGAATCTCATTATTACAAAACTCTCAATTCATCAACTAAATATTAAAGACTTTATTTAACCTTCGCCTAGAAGACAATAACAATCTCGAATTATATTCTTTGCTTCGTTCTAAGAATTTGGCAAATCCTCAATTCCACCTAATCCCGAGTCTCTGAAAAGAATGAAAACAACACAATGAGTTCACAACTCAATAAGTGGATAAATTTATACATTAAACACTGGTTTTGCAAAACTAAAATAAATTGACTTGATAAGCGAAATGCTAAAATAGTAAAATCTATAATGCAACACCTTTAAAATAAATACATGCAATGGAAATAAGCAGGTCACGTCTCAATGCGGTCAACACTTCGATACTCTGGTTGACTTGGCAAACCCCACTATTATAAAGCCCGTAGTAGGGACGATGAGACCCAAACTTGGGCTCTTAGCGTTAAAATAGAAACCTCATAGAGGCACATTGAGCCCTGTGTTAATAACTTGCTTATATCCGACATATACCGGTATATTGACTTGAGATGCATATGCTTTAAGAAAATTAAACGAACTCCGTAAAACTAAATACGTTATAAAAAATACCAAAGGTCATCCAATAGTGAAATCAATCAACCACATATGCATCTCAACCTACTACTATATGAAAAGACATAATAATTGACAAAGAAAATAAGCATAGGCTGATACCAAATATCCATGAGCATCACAAAATCAAATCAATCAACAAATGATACACCAGTAATCATACGAAGAATATAATATATCAGGAACAAATCCATGTATACTTGATATAATCATATATATATATATATATAAATACGCAGCGCACAATGCATAAATTCACCACTTACCTTAATCCAACCGACAATCCAAAATTTAACTCTCACGATGCTTTCGAGGAGCCACTAGAAATTCCTATGGAATAAAAATTTGAAATAATAATCAATGGCTTTTAATTGTTGTTAAACACTACATAAATGATTTATTGGATTTCACAATCACTTCCATTCTAAGATGCTTACTACTTGCAGTTGTTTTTCCATGAACCGCAGACCCAAGCACTATCTAGGGAAGCCTATTCATTTAATAATTTTCTTTTATGGGGCCAAAGAAAACATGAATCAATGTATATAATTGCTATTGTTATTATTACATTTTAGAAGGTATTGATAAATCAACAAATCAACGAATCACTTACCTTTTTCAAGCCTAAGACATAATCATGATCCCAGGAGAAGAGCGCCCGAGAACGCGGATGTGAAGACAAGAAATCAGTTCTCTGAATTGTTCAATAAACTCTAATAAAATAACATATACATTATCCGGTTCTCCTTCTTTTTTGATTTTTTTTTTTCGGTCGCCGGTCGGTTCTCAGAAGGACGCAGGTAGGGTTTTTTTTTTCCCGGCTTATGCAGACCAAAGCTAGGGTTTTCTCCCTTTGTTTTATAATGATTTCCATTTCCAACAAACACCTTAACAAAAATCTAATTGTAACAAACCCCTAAATAAGCAAAAATATGTCACCATAACTATTATTCTTTCTTTACATAAAAGTCCTCTTACACACTTATATTTATAGATAAATATTGTTAACTCCATTGTTTGGATATTTATTTAAACAAATAATAACTTAGACTTATTATCACTAGGAAATTAGGTATATTACACTGGAGAGCTTGATTGTAGAACTATTATCACAATAAATTTTTGTTGGTTCAGGCTGAAACTGATGCAGCATTTCAAGTATTATCTTTAACCAAATAGCTTGACATGCACATGATGCTGCTGTGATAAATTATGCTTCGGTTGTTCACAGAGTAACAACTTGTTGCTTCTTTGATGACGAAGATGCAGCTCCACAACTCAACATGAAAGCATAGCCTGAAGTGCTTTTCCTGTCTTCTAAATCACCAGCATAGTCACTATCATTAAAACCAATGAGATCTGATCCTTCTTCCCTTTTATAAAAAAGTACCAAAATCAACAATACCCTTCAAGTAACGCAATACCCTTTTTGCAGCAGCAAGATGATATTCTATTGGACATCCCATATATCTGCTAATAAGGCTCACAACATACATGATGTCTGGCCTGGTAGCAGTTAAGTACATCAAACTTCCAACAATTTGATTGAATAAAGTGCTGTCAGCCTTCTTTCCTTTAGAATCCATAGCTTCACTCCTGGTTCAGTTGGAGTACTGAGTTACAACTCTTCATCTGAAATTTGTCCAAGATCTCCAGAGCATACTTCTTTTGTGTAATAAAAATCCCTGCCGCAGATTGTACTACTTCAATACCAAGAAAGTAGCATATCATTCCTAAATCTGTCATCTCGAATTCAGCCATCATTGGTTGTTTAAAATCATCAAACATACTTTGATCATTTACTGTGTAAATCAGATCATCTACATATAAGCAAACAATCAAAAAAATTTGTGAGATGCCAGATTTAATAAAAAGAGTATGCTCATATGGAACTTTTGGAATCCTGCCTTCGAAAAATAGGCATCTACGCGACTATACCAAGCTCTGGGTGCTTGTTTCAGTCCGTATAGAGCCTTCTTCAACCTGTATACCTTCTCTTCACAAATACCAAGCTCTGGGTGCTTGTTTCAGTCCGTATAGAGCCTTCTTCAACCTGTATACCTTCTCTTCACAACCTTGCTGCACATATCCAGGAGGCTGATCTATATACGCTTGTTCATTTAATTCACCATGAAGAAACGCTGATTTGACATCCAATTGATAAATAGGCCAAGAATTCTGTGTAGCAACAGCTACTACCAATTGGATTGTATCATGCCTGACAACCGGGGCAAACACCTCATCATAATCAAACCAAACTTCTGTTTGTAACCTTTCGCTACCAGCCGTGCTTTATACTTATCAACTTCTCCTTTTTCATTCAGCTTGGTTTTATAAACCCACTTCACACCAATGGTTTTCTGGCCCTGTGGAAGGTCAGTCAACTCCAAGGTATCAATTTTCTTGATTGCTTCTATTTCTACATCCATGGCCTCTTGCCATTTTATGTCTTGCGCCGCATCTTCGAATGCTATGGGATCGCAGTCTGCAAATAAAATAAAATGAGAAATAGTATCATCATCAGATAATTCATCTCCACTTACATACACAATCATCCAAGCTGGCCTCTTTCTTTGACGTTGATATCTCTGGGTAGATACACCTGATTGGTGTTCTTCATTTGAGACACTTGCATTTTGGCTAGTTAGCACATCATTAGATAATTGCTGCTGTTGGTTTGATCGATCGGGTTTCTGACTTGTCTGAGCAGGCTCTTGATTTGACTGCGAATTCTTTATATGAGACACTTGCATTTTGGCTAGTTAGTACATCATTAGATAATTGCTGCTGTTGGTTTGATCGATCGGGTTGCTGACTTGTCTGAGCAGGCTCTTGATTTGACTGCGCAATCTCCATTTCAACTTCCTCTTCATCAATGTTTACTGACAATGGTTGCTTACCTATGATTGCTAATACGGTGATCAAGCGAATCAACAAAATTAAAACACTAGAAATCAAGTTTAAAGATCTAAACTTTCACCAAGAACATATATTAATTCATCATCAATCACCAAAAAGTCGGGTTCTTTCCCAACCCTAGACAAGAAATCTACTCACACATGATTGGAATAAGAGAAGACATCAAATAATTATGCAAATCAATCATAAGAAGAAATAAATCAAAGAGAGGAAAGAATTAACCCGTCTTTCAATTGAAATCTTCAAAATAAGAACTTGCAATCCAATCTTCTACAAGAAATTAATGTCTTCCTTCAATACTTGAACCCTAGAATAGTTGCTAGTTGATGGCTAAAAGAACATAATAAAAGATATCCAAAACCCTAAGTCAAAACATCTATTTATATGTCCCCAAAAATCTGAAAAAATAACTAATTCCCGCGCCACCGGTGTGGTCTGCACCACACCAGGGTGTGGTAGGGGCTGTTTTGCTGATTTCGTGCTTGTCTGTACAGTCTTCGGTATTTTGGCTATAACTTTTGCGTCCGACCTCAGAATGAGGTGATTCAAGTTGCATTGGAATCCTGTTGAAGAGATCTACAACTTTTATCTTTTGAGTTTTTCTTGATTCAAATTGCATCATGGTCGAAATTCTAGTTCTTCATACTCGTGCATCCATTTTCTTCACGAACCATGCCTTCAAAATCTTGTTATTGCTTCAAACTCTTGTAAAACTTCCAACGATCATCAAATCTTTCAATCTTGAGCCAATACCTACATATAAGAACACAAACAATAGCAGTATCTTCGATCTAAACACGAAATATGCATCAAACGCTCGTAAATCATGCTTGAAACACACTAAGATAATGCATATTTTACGTATTTATCAAGCCACTACTGAAATCTTGCAAGGTATGTTTCCCATTTAGCACACCTTCATGTTTTCTCAGGTTCCAAATTATATACACACACATACGTATATTGCTATCAAAATAAACAATATTAGTTTAACTGAAAATAAATGAGTTATGAAAAAAAACAGGCCTGAACGGGGTGCAGTCGTGATACACTGCCCTAGAAGATAGAGGACCCGCCTGTCGCCCTGGCGTAGTTGATCCTCCACCCTAGCGGTAAAAGCCCCTCGGAAACGGCCGGCCTCTCTACTCGGGCGCGAGTAGCAGAGCTTCTGCTCAGATGAAGATGATTGCCCAAAAATAATTCTCAAAATATGTAGCCGAAAATCTTTCAGTACTAAGAGTAGCAGAAGGAGGAAGAGGGAGCTATGAAATTCTTTGTGAATTTCTGTGTGTTTTCCCGAATGAACTCTGCCTCCTTATATAGCCTCATGAACCAGTAACCGATGCTGAATCTCCTCGTCCGTTGGGCGTAAATCACGCTGCCGTTACATAATAAATGCTGCCGTTACATAATAAATGCTGCCGTTACAAAAAATAAAAGCTGGAGAAGCAAAACCCGAGTGCGGTGCGGCGTGGCGTGGCGCGCGCGTCGTGTCGTGGCGAGGCGAGGCGTGGCGTGGCGAGGCGAGGCGTGGCGTGCGTGCGCGCGCGCGCGCGTGTGTGGTAGAAACGCAAAGCCCACAAAACCCAAAACACTATTCAAAGCCCATTAGGAAGTAAACCATTATAAACCACTTGAACTTCTTCTCAACTTCCAATGTGGGACTATTCACAAGGCAAAATTGCCTTTTCCTTAAGAAATGCTAACAATCCCCCCCAAAAGGCAATATTGACAAAACAATTAGTAAAACATATATATATATATATATATATAGGTTGGGCAACCTTTTGTATCGTGAATTCGGGAAAGGTAGCTTCCGGCTTTGAACCTTTCCTTAGTGAGTTTGTCGCCACCTGAGGGACATAATGGACTAAGCCTTGAATTAGGGCCCTTGAATCAGGTATTGACAAAAACACACACAATACACTTCATCTATTGAGCAAAGCGGGTTGAGCGTTAAAAGGCCATGCTCACAATAACCGACTCATGAGAGTTTCTAGGGGTTAGTTTAGTCCAGCCCCCCCCAACCGCGGCCATCACGATTCCTCTCACGTAGGTAAGTCCTCAAAGGGTACTACAGCTGTTTATTTAATACCCCCCAATAATACATGCGTTGGACTTATTAAGAGTAAAACTCAGCCTAACCAGCTGTATCATAGGAGCATCGTCATCATAGAGAAGGGGTAGTAGCTCACACTACATAATGATATATGAATATATATATGGGTCGATGCTCCACCCGAGTATCACTAGTCCAGCTTGTTTCTACCACATTGAACCGACATTGGGACAACGTCTCCAAATAAGGGTTGGGTTCCCACTGTCAGTGACCTCTTTAATGGACTTAACCCCATCTCCCTCGATGAATCCAGGACTACACTCCTGGATAATCCCTTAGTCAAAGGGTCAGCAATATTTTTCTCAGACTTTACAAAATCCAAGATCACAACTTTGCCTAACAGGCGTTGTACAGACTTATATCTTATTTGAATATGTCTGTTGAGTTTTTTATTTACATGTACTTGCTTTAGAAGCTCTATGGTAGATCTAGAATCAGAATGAATGGAAATTGGAGGAAAAGGTTTAGGGACCAAAGGAAGTTCAGAGATAAGATCTTTTAACCATTCGGCTTCTGAGCAAGTAGTATCAAGTGCAATCAATTCAGATTCCATGGTGCTCCTGGCAATTACTGTTTGCTTACATGATTTCCAGGATACAGCAGCACCACCAAAAAGAAATACATACCCAGATGTTGACTTTACACTGTTGGAATCTGTGACCCAATTGGCGTCACTATACCCTTCAATGGCATCAGGGTATCCAGTGTAAGTTAAGCAATAGTCAACTGTCCCTTTTAAGTATTTA